TACCCGTCTTGTGATTCACCCGCTGCAGGTTCGAACCTCGAAACTCAATCGAAGCGGCATTCCCGATTTCGCCCTTTGCCCTCCGCCCAAAAAGAAAATGCTTGGTCGATGATCCTCGCCGAAAAATGTGCACACGCCCGAACGATGCCAAGCTGAAAAAGGGGGGGGCCTCAGGAGGCCGGCGTCGGACCCACGGGTCGCGGCAACAAAAAGGCCGGCTCAGGGCCTTGATGGGGGACACACGGGGACCATGATCAAGACTAAACGCGGAAACGTCGTGTCGATCTTGGTCAGCGCCGATCTTCGTCAGCGTTAGTTCGTGAATCATCCTCGCGGATCGGCACAACCGACGTGGACCATGACCAATATCGGGATCGGCAAGATACTTACCGCGACATCTTGGTCATCATCCCCGTGCTCCTTCCATAGAAAGGAGGAGGAGAGGGAGGAGGAGGAGGAGGAGAAGGAGGAGGAGGAGGAGGAGGAGGAGGCGGAGGATGAGGAGGAGAAAGAGGAGGAAGAGGAGGAGGAGGAGGATCGCGCGACATCTCGGTCATGGTCCCCATGTTCCTTCCCCGGAGAAGAGGAGGAGCAGGAAGAGAAAAAGGAGGAGCAGGACGAGGAGGAGGAGGAGGAGGAAGAGGAGGGAGGAGGGAGGAGGCGGAGGAGGAGGAAGAGGAGGATGAGGTTGAGGAAAAGGAGGGGGACGAGGAGGAGGAAATTCTAATTCCAATTATATCTAAGGCGGGGGTCCTGCTCTAGGCAGGCCGCACAAACACATTCATGCATGATCATCAGGGAACGCAGTGCCCGACTTTGGAGGCAGCCCCCTGGATAGGCGCGAGAGCACCTCACGTCCCGCCGTCGAGGGGCATGGCCCTCGGGCGGGGTCTCCGCACACTCCATTCAGGATGCGGGGAGGGGCGACAGTGCAAAATCCTCCACAAACCGTGCAGAACAGCACTCCTCGCTGCACCGACAGTGGGAGGGGTGACATCGGTCGGCAAGCGGGTGGTCCAGGGCACCCCCAAACAGGTCCGACGGCCCCAGGCAATCAGGGGTGGGGTCAGCGCCAGAGTCACCCCTCTCCTCCCGCGGCACAAGCAGCTGAACACGCTGCTGAATGATACAACGGGGCTTGCATGCATTGGGCCAGAAGCTCGCAAGTTGGCCTTTCAGGCCATGGCTCAGCCCACATCGCACGCACTTGATGCAGGCCCTGCGCACAAGGGGATCGTGCCCTGCATCTCTCAACCTACAAACACGCTCAGTCAAAGAGGAGACAACCCCTCGAGTTCGCCGGGGCTCGCGGAGCCCCTTCCTCTCACGATCCGAGGAAAACAAAACTTCACGCTGGACAGCGAGGATTCTGTTTAAAACTTGAACGGCGAGCCCATCAGCCCGCACAATAAGAAAAACAATATGCTCGTCCAGCTGGGCCTTCTTGGCAGCCCAATCAGCAACGCAGTCAGCCGCCTTATTCAAATACGCCTCTACATCAGACAAAAACCTGTTTTCGGCCTGGGCTTGGGTGGGGTGTCCTTTGGTCCAGATCAGTCGGAGAGAGCCCTTCCTTTCGGAGAGCACCCTATGAAATTCAGCCCACAGGTCCAGCATGCTAGACTTCCTCTTGGCCAGTGAGCTGTTCCTCGCCCCCTTCAGTACTAAGAGGCAATCACTATAAACTCGTACATCCCCAACGCTGGCTCGCAACAGTTCCATCGTAGCAAAGAGCTCTGCCCTTGGCGAAGACTGGCGCGCGCGCGGCAAGGGCCCACACCGAGCCGCACCTATCCTACCATCTGGGCCGAGGTGCACGAAGGACCATCCACACCGACGTAGTCTCCAATCCTTCGAGTATTTGCCTCCAGACCCATCAACACCCCAAACGCCATGACGTATGAGCCCCCCCTCAACGCACCGCCCCCAATCCCATGCCAAACGCTGCGGAGGGGGAAGGTGCCCTAAGGAGTCGCCCAACGACGGGAGCCCCCTGACACCAACAACTCAGCTTGTCGTTTTCCGCAACGGCCCTGGGAGCCAAGGAATCGGTATTTTCAATAGTGTAGTCAGGGATACCTCGATTGCACGCGCACTGCCAGTACCGATGCAACAGGGGCTCGGGGGCCTCACCACATCTCCCGCAAAGCCCATTACTATCAGGAACGTACCCAGCAGCATGCAATCGCTCTTCAGGCCATGACGCGGCAATGATCACATTACGCAGTATGCCCGCCGACTCGTGCTCACCGTCTCGGGCAAGCTCGGCCAATAATCTTCGCATAGGGGTCGAATCAACTCCTCTCTCCAGGCCCGCGCCGCAAAAGTGCTTAGAAGCTTGGCCCCAGGACACAGCAGAACACGTCCTCAAAAGTGCACCCCAAAGCTGGAAAGGGAAGTCACCATCATTCAGCCTTAAAGCCGAATCCTCTGTGCGCCAATGCACTGGTGACCCTGCCTGCCAGCCAATGTCACGCAGTACAGCAATAGTGGCCGCCATCGGCCCTCTGACTACCTGCCAACGGTACTTGGTCTGATCCATCTTGGTAGATATCATCTTCCAAACCTCAGAACACAACCTGCGCGATTTATGATCCAGATCCGCCCAAGATAAAGCCCAACCATTAAGCTTTTCATAGCGAAGCCTAAACTGGGGGTCATCCTTCGCATCCCCTAATAAGCCAAGCAGGGTAGTGGTACAGGCACCTGGGGCCCGCAACCCAGAGCACGTGGCAGCCTGAGCGCGCATGGACTTAACTTGACCAGGAGAAAGCCCCGAGACCTCATGGCCCCACGACCACGGCCAGGACCCCAGGTTTATACAGCTTGCTCGCTCGGCCGACCAGCCGAGTTTAAAACTGCACCTTCCTACTCTTCCGATTGGCGATAGCACGCCGTTGTCGCAACTTGCTCATATTTCGGCGGAGTCCTGCAGAAGACATGACCCCCGGATCTCGGACCGAGTCTCTCCACTGAGTAGGTAGGTTGACTGAGGAGAACATCTGCATGATCTCGGCTCCGAGCTCTCCGTGGGAAACCAAAAGTAGACTTTTGTCTGCAATGAATGTGCCTGCAGCCTCCAGCTCGTGGCACAGGTGCAGCGCAGCAGGCGCGAACGCGGCGAGGACCTCTTCGCGGGATCCTTGCTGCGTCTGAGTAATATCGTCCACGTATCCCTTGATGCGGACAGGCAAGAAGGAGGCGTGGGCCTGATCTAGTATGTCATACGAATATATTTGTATCCACGGCATGGATTGGCCACAACCAGGCAATATGCC